TCTTGCTCAAAGACTAGAGGTCTCCGACTATTCTAGCAAAGAATGGGTCGAGAGTAAACTAGCTCTTACCTTTATTTTCCTTAAATATAGTTTTATTTTCATGTACTTCGTTTATATGTATATTCAACTATTAAATAAAAGAAATAGAGGATAGACCTCTCTTTAAAAAAATAAAAAAAAAATAAAAAAAAATAAAAATATTTCGATTTAATTATTATATTATAATCTAAAAAAGAAATTATAGATGATGACCCATTGCTATGATGACCTCTATATAATCAGCCAATCATTTTTAAGTTTGGCAATTATATATAACAATGATAATCATTTGTTTACAATTTTCAGGTTTGTCTTTTTTTAATTTGTTTTTTTTTTTTTGATTTGTTTTTTTTTTTTTTAGCTATTAATTCATTTTTTTTTTGGTTTATTTTTCTTTTTATTAACAGTTCAAGTTATGATCTTTGAAATTATTTGTCATTAGAGCTGCTATTGTTTTGGAGTTGTCGAGTTTCGTCGCCTTTTGTCACCTTTTATCATTGTTACTGGAACCTTCTGGGTAAGTAATTTAAATGTTATTTCATTAGCTTATCTTTTTATCAACTTTTTCTAATACTTGTCGAAAACTTTCTTTTGGTCTTGGACTTATTCTTGGACTTATTCTTGAACTTTCGCTTGGACTCTCTCTTGAATTTTTTCTTGAACTTTTACTGGAACTTTTATTTCAAAGTTGTTTTTCTTTTTTCTTTTGGTTTTTTTCTTTTTATTAGTTTTTTTTTTCGCTTTTTTATTTTTTTTTATTTTTTTTCACTTATTAATTTTTTCTTTCTCTAATTTGTTTTTTTTATTTTTTATTTTTTTTTCTCTTTTTTTTTGTACTTCTTTTTTATTCGCATTTTTTGAACTAATATTCTTCTCTTTCTAGTTGTAATTTCAGTGTTGCCAAATCATAATCTTTGGGGTTTTCGTCGCTAGAGTTACCGTTATCTTTTGTTGCTGAAACTTTCTGGATAAGTAATTTAAATTCTTTTTTATTAGTTTTTTTTTTTTATTTGCCAACTTTTTTAACACTTCAGAACTTTATCTTGGTCTTAGATTTTTGCTTGGACTTGGACTTCACTTAAAATTTTTCTTGAACTTTCACTCAGCTTTTTTTTAGACTTTTGCTCTGAACTTTTTCTGAGCTTTCGATTGAATTCTTACTGGGACTTTTGTTTTGATTTTGCATTTCTTTTTCTTTCTTCTTTTTTTTTTTTTTTTTGCTTTTTTATTTTATTTTTTTTTCACATATCTATTTTTTCTTTCCCTAATCTGTTCTTTCATTCTACTTTTTTTTTTTATTGTATTTTTTTCATTCGCATTTTTTGAACTAATATTTCTTCTCTTTTTAGTTGTAATTCTAGCATTGCCAAAATCATAGTCTTTGAAGTTTTTGTTGTCTTTTGTTGCTAAAACTTTCTGGATAAGTAATTTAAATATTTTTTATTGGTATTTTTTTTTTGCTAAACTTTTTAATACTTGTCGAAAACTTTCTCTTGGTCTTGGGTTTTCGCTCAAACTTGAACTTCCATTCGAACTTTCTTTTGAACTTTCGCTCAGATCTTCGTTGCTGAAACTTTTTGGATAAGTAATTTAAATGTTTTTTGGTATTTTTTTTTTTGCCAATTTTTAACACTTATTAGAAACTTTCTCTTAGTCTTGGACTTTCTCTCAGATTTTTCTTGGATTTTCTTTTGGCTTTTGTTTAAATTCTCGCTAGAACTTTTATTCATTTTTGTTTTTCTTTCTTTTTTCTTCTTTTTCTTATTTCTTTTCTTTCTTTTCTTTGGCTTTTTCATTTTATTTTCTTTTTCTTTCTTTTATTCATTTTCTCTTTTTTGTTCAATCTTTTTTTATATTTTTTTTTTCATTTTCTCTTTTGTCTTTTGTTAATTTTTTTCTCTTTTTTTATTTACTTTTTCTTTTGTTATTTACTTTTTTCTTTTGTTGTTCTTCTCTTTTCTTTCTTTCTTTCGTTTCTTTTTTTTTTTCATTCTTTTCTTTCTTTTGTTATTTCATTTTTCTTTCATTATTCTTTTTTTTTTTGTTATTTCTTTTATTATTGTTATTTCTTTTTTCTTTTTTTCATTCTTTATTTTTTCTTTTTCTTTTGTTATCTCCTTTTTTTTTGTTATTTCTCTATTCTTTGTTTTTCTGTTTTCTTTTAATTTTCTCTTTTTATTTTGATTTTTTTTTTTGGGTTCTTATTTTTTCTTTTTGAATTTCTTTCATTTTTCTTTCATTTTTCTTTTTTTCATTTATTTATTTCTTTTTTATTTCCTTTATCTTTCGATTCTTTTTCTTTTATTTTTTATTTATTTTTGTAATTTATTCTTGTTAAAGTTCTTCTCTTTCTTCTGTTTAGATGTAATTCATCATTACCAGAACCATAATTTTAAAATAATCATTATTAGAGTCATTATCGAAATCACCATTAGAGTTGTTATCAAAATTAGCATTAGAGCTGTAATTGGAGTTATCATGTGATTTTGGAGCAGTCTTTAGAATTGTTGGGTGGATTTTTGGTTATTTTGTGCTGCTGAATTTTTTGTTACTATTAGTTTTTTTAATTATATAACAACTTTATCCCTTAAATTATAACACAGGCAAATTTGCTTGTGTTTATTTTTTTAAACTTTATTTTTTTAATAAAATTTTAAATATTAATTTTAGCAATATACTTTCTAATTAAAAGCAACTTTTAAAGATCTACTTTATCAACTTTATTAAAAAAATTTTTAAAATTATTAAAAAACTTTTGATTAATTAAAGTTTAAAGTTTGTGTAATATTAGAGTTTAGTATTAAAAAATTTTTTAGATTTTCTAAAATTTTATATTTTTCTGAAGCTAGAAAAAATCTTTATTTTCAAATATAATTGTACAAAGTTTTATTTAATTATTTAGATTTTTTATAAAAGTAAATCAGAGCCAAAAAAGGTGCAAAAATGCAGGCAAATTTGTCTGTATTTTATTACAATCTAAGGGATAAGACGTTTGTTTGTTTGGTTTTTTTTTTTTTTTTTTTTTTATTAAAAATAAAGAATTTAAAAAAAATTTTAATAAATAAAATCATGCAATCACATGATCAATTTTGATTGGTTGATCACATGGTTGTCATGGCGATAGGTCGCCATAAAATAATGCCTCTTTAAAAAACTATGTACAATATTTTATCATTAAAAATTATTATAATTTTATTTATTAAATTAAAATTACATATATTATTAAAATTAAAAAAAAAATTAATACAATTCAATAATTTAAATAAATTGAACACTAATTCTACCAATCTACTCTTTATATTTAACTTTTTTTTTTAGGTCTACCTTATTTTACCAACACTCATTTTGTAGACATAGCATTTCACTGACAATCAATTTACTAACATGCTCATTTCATCAACACTTCATTCACTGACATTTAATGTTAGATTATTCAATATTTATGTTTCACCTTTAGTCAAGTATTTGTTAATGCTATCTCAAATACCAACTATTGAATATTTTCTATTACAACAGTTGCAACAAGTTTTAGTTTTGATTAAAATCTAAGCCTATAATAGTGTGATCAATATATTTAAAATTTAAAACAATGTCAAGCAAAGTAAGGCAGAACATAATAAATGTAAAACTAAGCTTAAATTAAGGCCAAAAGTTATTGTATTGGTTATTTTCAAAATTAGCTTTATATATTTGTGTTCTATTTCATTAAAGAGAGAATCTTTTAAATATTAATTGTTTTTCTATTACATCTGATCTTCTAATTATTAGTTAGCTAAAACTAACTAGCAAAGCCTCCTGTATATAAAGTTCTAGTATATATATTTTAAATTGCATCTACATTATTAGGAATCTTGATTAAAACTTTAAGTTAGCAATTAATAATTGTTGAAATATAATAAAAAAAATGTAGAGTTTAAAACCTGATCGAACGAAGCAAGGCAAAATATACAAAACTTAAAACTCAAGCAAAACTAAAAACTATAAAAAAACAAATAGAATACTATCTTAATATATATTTTTGATTTCAATTAATCATGTATTATCAAATTGTTAGTATTTATTAATACCATATTCTGTTATATCTAATTATTAGTTGGCAGTAAAGCCATCATATAATCATGTACTAGTTTGTAAGATAATAAAGTATAAAGTTTGAAATGAGATCTAGCAAAGCAAGGCCGATAGTAATGTAAAGTTATTAACTAATTATAAGTTAGTTGAAATAGGCAGCTTTGCTGCCCACCATATACAAGTCTAGTTTTATTATAAAAATCTGCAAAGATAGATGATATTGATGAAATGCTGAATGAGGATAAAGCTTTTATTTATTATTAAAAATCTGCAGATAAAAATGCTAATAAAAAATATAATGCCAGAAATTATTATCAACATAAAATTGGATTTGAAAAGAACAAACATGATCCTTTCACTTATCATCAAAATTTCATAGAGATAGTTGATGCTGATGGAAAAATTTGCGAATGAATAATACTGATGAAATGAGTGTTGCTAAAAGAAAACCTGTAAATTTAAATATAAGTCATATTTAAATTGTCAGATTTTTTTTTAGCAATACTCAAATATATAATGGTGAATATTGTTACTATCATAGAATTGGACTTGAAAAGAATAAACATAAGGTTTTCATTATTATCAAAAATTTGCAAATATAGATGATGTTGATGGAGCATATAATGCCAGATGAAAATAGGGCTTTTTTTTATCAAAAATCTATATATAAGTGATACTGATAAACATATAATGCTAGATATTACTATGAAATTAGACTAGAAAAAATATGATACACTCTATTCTCGATGCCAGATATTGTTATTATCATAGATTTGGAGTTGAAAAGGATAAACCTACATCAGCAAAATATATAAACATAATATTATATAATATATTATAACCTGTAATATTGCACAAAAATTACGATTAATGTATAATATTGCACAATAATTGATTATATAATATTGCACAATTTTATTATGTAATATTATATTGAAAAATTTTTTGGATGCACAGATTTTTAAAACCCGATAATAAAGTATAATAGCCTAAATTAAGCTTATTCAGGCCAAAACTTAAATTACTTTATTATTTTATACTATATATATTATAAAATATATATATTGGATAATTATATTTTAATAATAAAAATCAAAATACATGCTTTATTACAATTTTATTTTTTTAAAAAAAAACAAAATAAAAAAAAATAAAATAAATAAAATAAAAAAACTAAAAAATAAAGAACTAAAGGAAAGTTTACAAAATTTCTCAACGAAACACCAGAAAATTTTACAAGGAATTTCACCAAAAACCATAAGAAAATTCACTCAAAAACACCAAAAGTTCAAAGAAAGTCTACAGAAAATTAACTTAAGTGTAAAAAGACTAAAAAAAGTATATAATGAAGTTTACCCAAAAATTCAGAAAAAGTTTACAAAAATTCGCCTACCAAACATCGAAAAACTGGAAGAAAGACCACAGTAAAATTCATCAAAAATTTGGAGGAAGGCTCAACAAAACTTTACCTATCAAATGTTGAAAAACTGGAGGAAAAGTTCAGAGGAAAGTCCATAATAATTCGTCTACCAAACATCGAAAAACTAAAGGAAAGTTCACAAGAAAATCTCTAAAAAGCCGCAAAAGTTCAGAATAAAGCTCAATGGCAATTTACTTATCAAACATTGAAAAACTGGAGGAAGATTCACAGGAAAATTCACCAAAAGTTTAGAGAAATTTATCTACCAAATGCCAAAAAAACTAGAGAGAAGTCCTCAAGAAAATTCATCTACCAAATGTCAAAATAACAGAGGAAACTCATAGGAAAATTTACCTACCTATCAAATAGCAAAAGACCAGAAGAAAAGTTCACAAGTTTGCTAACCAAACACCGAAAAACTAGAGGATGATAAACATGAAACTTCAACCAAACGTTGAAAACCCAGAGGAAAGTCCACAAAAAAAGTTCACCAACCAAATAGTAAAAGTTTAGGGAAAGTCCATGAAACTTTATCTACTAAACATCGAAAAAGCAGAGAAAAGTTAACAAAAAAATCCTCCAAAAGCACCAAAAGTTCAGAATAAAGCTCAACAGCAATTCACTTATCAAATATTGAAAAACTGAAGAAAGATTCACAGGAAAATTCGTCAAAAGTTCAGAAAAAATTCATCTAACAAATGCCAAAAAAACTAGAGGGAAGTCCTCAAGAAAATTCATCTACCAAACGCTGAAATAATAGAGGAAACTCACAGGAAAATTCACCTACCTATCAAACAGCAAAGGACCAGAAGAAAAGTTTACAAGTTTGCTAACCAAACTCTGAAAGACTATAGGATAGTAGACACGAGAGTTTAACCAAACATTGAAAAACCAGAGGAAAGTCTACAAAGAAGTTCACCAACCAAACATCGAAAGTTTAGAAAAAGTCCACAAGAAAATCCTCCAAAAGTACCAAAAGTTCAGAATAAAGCTCACTTATTAAACATTGAAAAACTAAAGGAAGATTTGCAGGAAAATTCGCCGAAAGTTCATCTAACAAATGTCGAAAAAACTAGAGGGAAGTCCTCAAGAAAATTTATCTACCAAATGGCGAAATAACAGAAGAAACTTCACAGAAAAATTCACCTACCTATCAAATAGTAAAAGACCAGAGGAAAAGTCCACAAGTTTGCCAACCAAACACCAAAAAACCAGAGGATGGTAGACACGAGAGTCAAC